ATATGCATAAACTATACATATTAATCTTTATTCAAGCTATAAAAGTTCATCAGCGACTAGAACAGTCCAAGGATTTCTCTTTTTCTTTTGTTCTTTGATTTACATCAGTGACAGACTTCAGCAGGTTTCACTTTAAAATCAGCGCTGTCTCTTTAAAACCTGATGCATATGACGCGGATCTGACACATATCCGATTTTCTCCCAACTCTTTACAGTCATTTAAGACTTTATAACTCATTTAAGACTACGTTTACAAGGTAACTCGCCAAAACCACGCATTTTGACATAATTGTGTGTGTTTTCGTGCGTTGAAGCGCTACTGGTGCGCTGTATGCGTACAGCCGAACGTGCAGCCTTTCAAACTTTACTTCACTGCACCGTTTAGGCGGCATAACCCCAGGTATGCGTCACCGCATTCTCGGGTTATGAAGAATAAAGAAGGGAAGAGTTAATCTTCCGAAATGAAGCAGCAAAATCTTCTCAGGTAAAAGTTATTAGAACCGTGTCTAGGGACAAGCTGGCCATCACACTGCTCTGACCTTATCAGTCCGTTTGCATCCTATTATTTGATTCGCTCTTGTCGCTTATGACAGAACAGCTAATCACGATGATCTCGTCTTCGGAAAAGATTATTTTATTCGCTTATGTCAGAAACAGCGAATCTCTTTAAAAATCTCTTTGGCTGTTGTTTTCACTTCATTGCATTGTTATAATAGATATAGCTGAAGTTTACTCACATTTGGCGCTTGGCGAGTGTTAATTTTAGGCCCTGCATCCTAGTATTAATTTCTTACAAAAAAAACAGTGTAAACAGTAGACAGCAAGGCAGATCACTAGGGTTAAAAGCCAGAGTTCAATGCACTTACCCAAGTACTCTGAACACTCGAGGCAGATCTCACGCAGGAAGGTGTATGAAGACATGTCAAAGGTGCGAAGTTTGAGTTCTGTCCCTAATCCATCAATGAACAGATGCAGAACGCTCACTTCCTCTCTGCCGGACAAGCGGCACAGCTGAATGGAAAGCTAGAGGGGAACAAAGGAGGGAAAAGTGTCACTGGGTGAAAAAAATGACTGGATGAGCCTTGAAATGCTAAGATCATTTCAAATGAACCATACAGTATATACACATTTCTTACACACATCTGTTATCATCTCTATACGGAAAGAAAAGCATAGTTTAAATATAACTTGAGAGAATCAATGATCTTGTGTTAATGATCTTGCATTATCAGACCTTGCTGATCTCAAATCTCAAGAGGAACTCGGTCATGTTCTTCTTGGGGTCTTTGAGCACCATGGACAGACGCTTATCAGAGGCTGAACCCTGCAGAGAGCCAGTGGAAGCCTCAAAGAACGGCAGATCCTCGATCGGTGAACTAGGGGCATCAAAGAACAGCTCCTCATCTGAAAAAGACAAAAATGGCGTTTTATGATATTGGATTTATAGAGTAGATCTCTCTCGGTGAATCAGTTTGTATGAAGGTGTGTCTGACCTGAGCCGTATATGATGGATGCACGCAGGTCGTCTATGGCTGGTCTTCGAGGGGTGAGCTGAGGTGTGTTCCCTCGTTTGGAGGCCTAATGGGAAAAAAAAATATATCACACAGCTGCAAGAGAAAAACAACTCTCAACAACATTGGTGGATAAATGCAAGCAAAATGGAAATCTGTCCAAATATATCAGATCTAAACTGATTTGAATCAAAGGCTTGTGAATTTATTTGGGAAATCTTTATTGATACTCTATCAAATAAGGCAAATATCTGCTTTATCTACTATTAATAAATAAATAAAAAAACAACAGGGGCCAAACTATATACTTCTATTTATCCATAGTTTGTGTGTCTTTTTTTTTTTTAAATCACTAAAAGAAAGACTGAAATTTAAATTAGCCCTGGGATTTTAAGAATTGTGAGAATATTGAAATTGTTAAAATGAAGACCGGCAATAAATGGGGGAAATTATTATTTTTTTAATTAGCTTTAATATTTGAGATTATAGGCATCAGATGATAACTGCGACCCCATGTCGGACAGGATAGTTATTGTTAACTAAAATGATTAAACATAATTTCCATTATTTGAAATGAAGCTGAAATAAAAATAAAGTATAAATATTAGATAAAAAACGTCGAAATTAGATAAAATGAACTGAAGTACTAAAATGACTAAAACTAAAATGGAAATAAATTTAAAGCTAAACAGAAATATAAAAAAAATTTAAAAAAGAAAATGATAAAGAGATAAAAACATAATGAAATTACTAAAACAGAAAATATAAATAAAAAGCTAATTCAAAACAGTAATAAATAGTATAACATTACATTAATAATACTAAATTAACAATGACAGCAGATTAAGTTTTGCTTCCTGATTGCAACATTTTCAAAGTCCTGTTGTTTACTGTGTAAGGTATTATTTTATTTCAGCAATATAATTGAATTTATTATCCGTACCCATCATTTGCTGCATTAAATTGTATTATTTACAGATGAACAATTAAGAGCCACCAAAAGTCAGTTTGTCAAGTCACAACAACGATCATATCTATATTAACGATCATATCTATATTTGTCTGGGAAGACACACCTATAAGTATTCTTTTAATTACCTTGGGTGTAGCTTGTGGCGCTCTAGTCTGGGGCGCTGGGCGACTCTCAGGAAGTGGAATGCTGCTAAGCAATGCCAGGACGCCACGCACTTTATCATCAGAGATACGCAGAGACAGAAGAGGGAGCTCACCGTAAATCTTAAACCTGAATAAAAAGAAAACCATTAGGTACAAATATGTCAACGCATGCATAATGTGTGATGATGTGTTCAATCACGTGCACACCAGACGGGGCAATTTCTGCTTACTTGGGCATTCGTGAGTCCGTCACCACCATGGCTCTGCTGAAGACCACCTTCAGGTCCACAGGCTCCAGGATGTGGAAAGCAGACTGTCTGAGCGGACGAGCCCGCTTCCAGTCACCACCTGATAACACACGCAGCATACAGTATGTAAAGCCCTGTAAAGTCTATATTATGTCAATCACTGTGCGAGTCTGCGCACCTGCTTTGGTGTAGAGGAACTGCAAACTGCTGAGTTGGACATCGAAGCTGTCATAAGCTCGAGACATGATGTCCTCTAAAGTGCTGCTGCCCACAGACAGCTGAGGCAGGCCAACTCTGCTCTGACTGGACATCTACACACAACAAACACACTTTTATCCAATTAAATATTATCATCCCCTCATTAGTAATGGCCTTTTTAGAATATAAAGGCAGCTATATATTTCCATGTATAAAACATTTATATGGTGCAATAAATATATATGTATTTAATGTGATAGTATAAAGACATCAAAATAAAATAATTTATGAAATTTAAAAAATAAACTATATGTAGATATGCTATTTTTTTTATTATTAAAAGCCGCTGCAGTCAACAGAATAAAATAAATCACAAATAATTTCATGATTTTTGACAAAAATTATCAAACAAGTTAACTCTGATTATGCACCAAGAGCTTGTAACACTCCAAAGAGAAAGGAAAAAATGAAATTGCATCATATGACCCCTTTAATGTTGGTTTAAAAAGAAGTATGACTCATTGGGGAAACAAGGAATTCACATTTCTTTCGATCATTCTGTTTGTTGTTTTGCCTGATATAAATTATATGAAGCACTTCATGATGAAAAATGATAAAGAACCATGTGCACTGACAGTGAGATGTTTTTTTTTACCTGGAAATGACCCAAATCCAGAATGGCAAGGTTGTGTTTGGGGTCATAAAAGCCATTTTCTGGTACAATGACATATGAAGCCATGAGGTTTATCTTCAGATCCAGAACCTTCTGAGTCTCAATGATGTACATGAGTCCTGTGAATAATGAATAATACTGTTTTAGTACGAGCTACTATTCTATAACCACAAAATTCCCATTTAAAAACATTTTAAAAAGTAATTTTTTTAAAACTTTTATTATAAAATGTGTAGGAAATCTGCAGTTATGTTTTTTTTTTTCAAGTCTGATCCACGTTGCACCGCCGACTTTGGAAAGGAAAGCATCTAGCAAACAAATACATGACTTGTGAATCCGCACACACCTGTGGAGGTCTTGTCTCTGAACTGCTCCAGCTTCATGAGGGTGGCGTTGGTCAGTTCATCCAGCTGCAGGTCCTTTGGAGGCATGAAGAAAGCTGACATACTGTTCACTGTCATCTACAAAAAGAACAAACCACACTTAACATACTGTACACTCTACATTATCCATTCATAGCATACAGCAGGGTTTCCCAGATGGGGGTTCCTGAGTAATTAATCATATCATACAAATGTAAAATGAAACATAAGAGGTCTGAACAATTAATCTAAATAAAACTGAAATCAAGACATGGCTTAGCGTGATTATCAAACCGCAAAAGGCACTGCGTGTGTTCATTTACACGCGAGCAGCTGCTATAAATTTGAGCATTTGTGAACACCGCATGGGCCAGGACCATTTTCGGTTCACATCTGCATAACATTTCTCAGAACAGGTTGTTTTTTTTTAGCATTTTACCAGATTTGTAACAAGAAACGTTTCTAAACCCATAATCGACTACCTTTAAAGAGACTTGGAAAAACTTTCCTGCATTTTCCCCCCAAAATAAAAGCTTGAGAATTAAACACTTGAAAGTGAATAAATTAACATAAATATTAGTAATATAACTTGTAGAATGAAATAAAAATTATTAGAATATCAAATATTATTTTCCTTATACAGTACAATTGTATTATTACAGTTGCAATGCGTATATTTCTGTCTTTTTTGCCTATTTTTCTAGAATTAAGGTAATAATAATAATACATTTCTACTTTTACTATATTTCTAAAATTCTACTGGCATCAGATTGTGGCCGCTTATATATTTCTGCTGCTGAATTATCTAGGCAAAAAACACAGACCTTTTCAAATAAGATTAAGTGTTTATCAAAAAGCAGTTAAAATTGCTATGGCCATATTTGACAAAATATTCACAATATAATTTTTTGACCAAATAGTGCAGCCCTTTACCTTAAAAAAAAAATACTTTAGAGAATTTTTTTTTTTTTACATGCATTTCATGTACCCATTGACCAACATCAGATTGCATAACATGCAAATGTGTTGTTAAATTATTGAAATATTAACTTAATCTCAAGAAAATATTATATGACAAAGGGGTTTAAAAGTTTTTTTTAATTTTTTTTCCCCCAGTCATAGAGAGATGCTCCCTCACACTCACAGAGTCATAGATGATCTCCAGCGCCTGGGACTCGATGCGGAGTCTCTGGTCTGCACTCGCGTCCAGTGGGTTCGTCTCAAACATGAGGTCCAGTAAAGCCGTATCTTTCATCCCGACCACATGACGTGGAGACAGCAGGATGGGGGCCGACTTGCCTCGTGGGAGACCCGACACTTCAAACGATGACAGCTGAGCAGAGATCCTGACAAGCAAAACATTATGTCATACAACAGCATGCTCTGGCTTACAGGAATTCTGCTGAACAAAAATGATTGTTACACTAATGTCAAGACGTGGCAAGACATTCTGGAGGGTTAAAAAGCCAAATGAGCATCTTGTATGTCTTCTGCACATCATGTGAAAGTTACGTCAAGATTTACTCCAGTGCAACATCTTGCCCCACAGACTTTCATTATAAGTGCATTATTGTAAATGTGTTTTGTGCTTGTTTCACAATTGAGGAACAAGTTAAAAGTATTTGTCAACAGCAAGTGTGACACTAAGTTGTATTGAACACAGAAAATTCCTTCAAATTAAATGAATAAAAGTGGGTGAGATGAGTGGACTTGAGAAGAGAACACAGTACTTCATTGCTTGGGCCGCAGGTCTTTGAGTCAGCATGGCTTTCAGATCAATGACGGACAGTTGGATTATCTCCGGCTTCTCTCGGCTCTCTTTGATTGACAGAGACAGGCGATTAAGCTGGAAATGTATCTTCATATTTTCAAACTGCAAACAAAAATATTAGTCAGGGGCGTGATGCTTTACATGAACTTAAGATGTGTAATTTCAATGGACTGGAACATCCTGCTTAATACAAGAAGGCTAAAATTATTTATACTGTTCATAAGTTTGGGATCAGTAAGGGGATCAATAATTGATTATAAAGTGACAGTAACAACATTTATAATGACACAAATGATTTATATTTGAAATAAATGCTGCTGTTCTTAACTTTCTATTCATCAAGAATCATAGAAAAAAAATCACTTTGTGAAATATGAAGCATTACAACTGTGTTCAACATTGATAATAGTAAAAAATGCCTCTTGAGCAGTAAATCAGCATATTAGAATGATTTCTGAAGGATCATGTGACACTGAAGACTGGAGTAATGATGCTGAAAATTCAGCTTTGCATCACAAGAATAAACTACATTTTAATATATACTGGTAACACTTCACAATAAGATCCATTAGTTAACATTAATTAATACATTAACTAACAATGAGCAATACATTTGTTACTGTATTAATCTCTGTTAATGTTAATTACTAAAAGTACAACTGTTCATTGTTAGTTCATGTTAGCTCAGGTACATTAATTAACAGATACAACTTAAAATTTGAATAAAATGTTAGTAAATGTTAAAACTGAGATTAATAAATGATTTACAAGTATTTTTCATTGTTAGTTCATGTTAACTAATGTTAACAAATGGAGCCTTATTGTAAAGTGTTACCAATATATTCATATAAAAAAGTAGTTATTTTAATAATAATAATAATTCATAATATTACCAGCAGACGTCTTTCAAAAAACATTTTAAAAACTGTAAATTTTCCAAACTTCTGAACAGTAGTGTAGATATATACACATGTATACACTTTGATGCAAGTCAAGTTGGGGAATATATCTTGCATAAACACTTATAAAAATCTATAAAAGAAACTATTAACTTCTAAAAACTGGATTTATATATGTGATGATTGTTTGTCACTAACATTTTTTGGCAGGTTAGGATTGACGGCTGTCTCGCTGTATCCAATGGCAGCGTATAGTTTGGCTTTCTCCGCTGGAGTCATTAGCTCATCAAAACCTGAGAGATATGAACAGAAGCTCAGCAAATCTATCCGAAACAGATGATGTGGAATTCTGTGGAATATTTAAATATTACAATGAGCTGAAATTACTATCAGAAAATATCCACATATATCTTTCTGCAGAATTCTAGAGCTCAGACTCTCTGAAGGAATAAAGAGATACAGAGCGCAGACAAACCTCCCGTTTTGACATCTTTGGTTTGTGTGCCACTTTCTCCAGACCAGCTCCACATCCAGCCGAACCAGCCCTGTGACTGTTCTTCCTCCACTTTCACCCCAGGACGGTATATCCTGAGCCCCGCCTTTGAGGCCTACAACACCAGCGACAGAATACACAAGAGTCAAAATGGTGTTATTCAGTCAGAAACCAGAGATTCAAACCAAGACCTTTATGTTGCTAGCTTCATACTCCACCAGCTGAGCTACAGGAACACATTTCTTGTGATTATGAGCCATAGGCCACATTGTATTGAGGGTTCAAATGATTTATAAAATGTTGCACAAGCCAAATGTGACTGTGTGAGAGAGTATGAATGTGATGGTACATCACCTCCATCTCAGCCTGCTGTCTCGCCATAGTGATGTTGAATATATCCAGGGTTCTTTCAGTCTCCTAAAGAGTGAACAAAAATAAAAAGGTTATGTACAAAACAAAACTGTCACGGAAACGACAAGAGTCTTATTTGGTTCTTCCTAAATTATAACATTCATAAAATGGGTTAAAAAAAGGTGTTAGAAATGGATCTGTTGTGATCAAAACGCCCCTCCTTATTTGTAATTGATACCAGATTTATGAAAAGTTTCTTTTTTTTTTTTTTTTGGAGTAATGCAGATTAAATCATGAAGGTTAACTAAGCATGTTGCATTTTTTCATTATGCAAAGTAAAACATCATGCATCATTCAGCAGAGGCTCAGTCTCTTTCAGAACAGCAGTGTTATGCTCACCCTGAAGGTGTATTTTTTATGTATTGCACACTCTCATGTCATCCCAAACCCACATGCTGTTATTTTTTTAATACAAAAGGAAAATTATTTGAATAGTCTTTATGCAACTCTTGCCAGTTCACAAAGACACAGTTCACAGTGACCACAGCTGACAAACTCCAAAACAAAACCGACAAACAAAACAAAACAAAAAACAGCCATATTTGCCAGTTCACAGAGACTCAAACTCCAAAAAAAAAAAACACACACACACACACACACACACACACACAAAAACAAAGATATATTTCTCAATTCATTGTACCAAACTCCAAATAAAACAAAGCCATATTTGCCAGTTCACAAAGACTCAAACTCCAAAACAAACAAAACAAAAAACTAAAACTAAACAAAAAAAAGCCATGTTTGCCAGTTCACAAAGACTCAAACTCCAAAAAACAAAAAAAAACAAAGACGAAACAAAAAAAAAAGCCATGTTTGCCAGTTCACAAAGACTCAAACTCCAAAACAAACAAAACAAAAAACAAAAATAAAACTAAAAAAAAAAAAAGCCATGTTTGCCAGTTCACAAAGACTCAAACTCCAAAACAAACAAAACAAAAAACAAAAATAAAACTAAAAAAAAAAAAAGCCATGTTTGCCAGTTCACAAAGACTCAAACTCCAAAACAAACAAAACAAAAAACAAAAATAAAACTAAAAAAAAAAAAAGCCATGTTTGCCAGTTCACAAAGACTCAAACTCCAAAACAAACAAAACAAAAAACAAAAATAAAACTAAACAAACAAAAAAAAGCCATGTTTGCCAGTTCACAAAGACTCAAACTCCAAAACAAAAAAAACAAACAAACTCCAAGACAAAACACAGCCATTTTTGCCAGTTCACAAAGAGAGTTCATAGTGACCACGGCTGTTAAACTCCAAAACAAAACCAAAAACAGCCATATGTATCCCCAACAGAAAAAATAACAGCATATGGGTTTGGAACGACATGAGAGTGAGTACATCACAGCAGAATTTCCTTATTGTGTGAACTGTGCCTTTACTGAGCATGCGCAGTGCTCACCCACCTCAAGCTCCTTCAGCAGACTCTCTGCAGGCTTCTTACTGGTGATTTTGTTCTTATAGATCTCTCGGTACTTTTTCACATGTTGCCGATGGTGACGGATGCGTTGCCATGACCACATGTAAAGGCGGGGCTTTACATTGACCTCCAAAACGCCTGTGATCACATATCGCCACCTATGATAACCACAAAAAAATTAAGTACAGAGCCTCATGAAATTAAATAATAGTCAAGACCACAATCTCGAAATGCACTTACCACTGACGCGCATTAGTGTGAACTGCCACATCTGGACGATATTTCCTGTATGGAAGGTTCCGGGTCATCATATCCACCGATCCCAACAGCTCCAGAATGCTCACGTACTAGAAAACAACAAAAAGTTACATTCAAGCCATAATTACATTCAAAATATGTCAATGAATTGTTCACTGAATAGCACAAAATTAAATGGATGTCTTCCACACCTGTGGACGGCTAAGTTCAACAGCCACCTCAGGGAGGTTGACCACTAGATCCACTTTTGGTGAGGAGAAGTCCACATCGGAGCGAGGATTCATGCGCAGCTTGGCGCTTGCAGATATTGGACGAAAGACTAAAGCAAAAACACACAAAAACAAAGTTGGTTTGCATTTCATAGAGAAAACACTGTTGAATACACATGAAATTTGTGAATGAAATAAAGCTGGAACTCACTGAAATGATAATCTTTAGGGATAGCGCTCTGGATGGCTACACTGTGCTTCAGGTGTCGCTATAAAAAATTTACAAACAATGAAAATGTGCAATTTCTTTTCCTTGGACTAAAAGTTTAATAAAATCTGAAGACCCTACCAGAGCCTCATCAGGGTTGTGGTTGGAGTAGAGCTCTGAATTCACATTCCAGTACGCAAACAGATTGTCCAGACGTACAAGCTAAATGACGCAACAAGCGGTATTAACTAGTGAATAATAGTGGTTCGTTTTGCTACACATAATGGTGAAAGTGAAAAAGACATGTTTTGACCTTGAAAAACAGCTTGGCTTTCTCATCCAGAAGACATGGTGTCCAATTCTGATCAGCGGTCTGGAAAATTAAATACAAATGTTATGAAAAAAATTATTGAATCCACTGTAAAAAAAAAAAAGTTGCATTGCTTAGCCATGCCTAATGGTATCAGGACCATTTAACTGTGATCAAATCACTGTAATGAAATCACTGTACAGCCTCTCATGGCTTATTGTTAATTATAGAGTCTATCAGGGCAAATCACACAAAAACACAGCTAGGTCATATTTCACCCCAAAATCAAAGGAAAACAAAAACAAAAACAATATTTTGTATTCATAAAAAAATATATTAAATATAAATACATTTTATGATTAGAATAATATAAAATCATATGTTTACATGTCAAAAGAAAACTTATTTAAAAAAATATATTTTCCTAAAGAAAAATACACTTATAAAATTGTTAATTTATAACACATTTTAAATTAATAATATATTATATACATATATTTTCTTGATTCTTTTTTATTGTTTAATATAAATTTTATATTATTTATAAAAAAACATATAATATATAAATCAATACATATTTAAAAAAGATGATTTTTTTTTTAATGCAAAATATACATTTTCACTTGATTTTGGTGTGAAAAATGCCCAAGACATTCTTATGAGATTCAACCAACAAAGGCATAATTTAATAATTTAATTTTGCATGATATTACTGGCATACCTGGAGGCTGAGGTTCTGCAGGGACACTCCGAAGGAGAGCGGAGCATCGGGATTGGTGACCTGAATACATGTGTAACATGGAAAATTAACATATATTACAGGTTTTAGTATATAAAAGCTCTAAGCTCAAGAACCACAGAGAATGTAAATGTCAAAGTACTCACAGCATCCTCATAGCGGACGTGTATGTTGGAGATCTCAGTGCAGACTGGTTTTACAAAGCAACACGAAAATAGTCAAAATTTAAGTCAACAGCCATGATATAGCATACAGCAAGCAGTTCAACACTTACCTATGTGTCCCGCTCTGACTTTGAAAGGAATGTCCAGTTGACTCTGTTTCAAAAATAAGACTCACATTAGAGCGCAAGTCAAGGAAGCACACCTTCACAGAGCATTAGAATAATGAATGCTTAGTTAATGGATTTCCTGTACAACCAAAAGACAGTACATGTCTAACACGAAACATAAAGCAACATACCAAGGCATTTTCTTTTATCTCAAGGTTTCTTAATATGGCATCACCTGCAAAAGAAACGTTGACACATTACATAGTGCTGAATATTACCAGCCTTAGTCTAAAATAATTCATATCTCACTGAGCAAATATTTACAGTTGTATTAAAAGCTACTTATCAGGGAGTCAATAAGACACATGGCATATCATTAAACTCTACAGGGTGGGGGAGTTTGAACATCCTGTATTCCTTTGTCCTTGTGTTGTTGACGAATTTAGCATTCACTACAATGAATGAATGAAGTGAGACTATAGCAGTAATTCTCATCAGCCAGGCCTCTCCTTTATCTTGCTTGTTTTCAAACTTTTTGTTTGGAACTGGAAGTGTGTTATATAGTCAAATAAAGCACATACATTAAATACAATAATTCTTGATGGGGAAAAAAAAAAATCTTGATTTAGCATTTTAAGTGAGTTTAATTAAATTCTAATATTATTAATGAATTATAATAGAAGTCATTTTGTGGCCAACTTGGAAATTTGCTGAGGCCCCCAGCGGTCCCCGGGCCCCTGGTTGAGAACCAGTAAACTACAGAATGGTTTCAGAATGGTTTTCAGATCCATTTATTGATTTTGATCACAGTCAGAAAATTTCACAATGTTGTTGAAATATTACACCATCAAAAATGATTCTGCATATCATGTTTAAAATACAAGAGATGTTTCTACAGGAGGTGTTTTTCCTAATCAGAGCGATTTAAAATGAGGATTTTTAACAAATCGTGTAACTTAGTTTTCATAAATATCTGACGGTATTAACAAAAAGTAGTGATGCAGCAGTGAAAACTTCATAAAGGAGGAATATTTTAGTTTAACCTCTTCATTTTGGGAGAATATAGTAGAAATGTTTGGTAACACTTTACAATAAGGTTTCATTTGTTAACATCAGGTAACTACAAATAATACTTGTAAAATATGTATTCATTTTAGTTAATGTTAGTTTTTAGTATTTACTAATAAATGACAAAAGTTGTACCTGTTAATATTATTTAAGATACACGTTTCATGATGTTTTTAAAATAAAGAGAAATTGACTGAAATGGTATTGCATTACAAAATACTGTTGCCATAATCTCTAATCAGGGTCAAAATGAATATATACTCTTGTTTTAAAAACTAAAGACAACTGTTTTGTCTCATGTCAAGAGCCAGTGAAATGCATTTAAACAGAAGTTGCCTTCAGAGTCTCAGAGCGAAAGTGAATCACTCTTCAATCTTACACAGCAAGCAGTTCATCCGAAAGTGAAAATTGTCTCATGATGAATTACTTTTATTGTAGTTTCTGGTAAAAAAAAAAAAAAAAAAAA